GGCCTCGCAGCCTGGTATACGCTGACACCTGGTTCCCTGCCAGTAGATGCGCTTGCATTGCTTGTGAATGTACAGTCGTCGGGCATGACTGACCAGTCACCCTCGTACTTCCTACCCCTGTTGGGTTCCTGTTGTTGTTGTTGTTGTTGTTGTTGTTGTTGTGGGCGAAGTTTATATTGAGGACCAGAGGGTGTTGTGACACGCCTAGTTGTGGGTCCGGCCTCCCGTCTTCCTGGCACTGTCTTGACAGCGGGTGCAGGTGGGGGCAGTAGGAGAGAATGCGGTAGATACTGCGTATAGTCTACAATCACCATAAACGAATTCACGCGCAAGTTAACGTGACTGCTGCATTTCGCTGTGTAGCACACGGTGGACATCGGCGGCTCCGACGGTTGAACCACATATATTCCTACGGCAGATCCATTTGTAATTCTTGTAAATATATCTTAGGATTTGTGCTCAGAAAAGACTTCAATGAGTATGACGAGCCCGCATGAGTGATTTCAATGGCCATGATGAAAACAGATGATCGAGCATTGCCCTGTTGGTGAATTCGTTGCAACCAGGGATACGATTATCCGGATCTACACTCTCAACTTGGGAAGGCCCTGCTTCATGCTGCGTGCAAGGTTGAGAGTCAGTTATCGGGGACGCACCTCGAGTTGGTTGTCCCTAGATCGTGAGGCGCCTACGCGTCTGCTGAGGTAAAATAGATCACGCTCGACAAATGACGCAGCATCCATCGATCGCAGTCCGTACACGTAGATTTCGCCAGATGGCCGAACGCTGAATGCGAGTAGAGGTGCCCCCGGATGACCTTGGCAGAATCAGCGGCGTGCGCAATTGATGCGTTCGTACTTCACTGAACAATGGAGTGTCCATAAAATCGGCTACTCGGCAGATGCGCTGGACCAACACGCGGACTAGATTGGGGTCTGTCTGGCATCAGAAGGAAAAGGGGCACTCAGCATTCGTCAAACGAATTACGAAAAGCTGCAGAGCATGCGGACGTTATTATTATAAACATGCACATGGTGGCACAGGAATTGCAGTCTATACAAATGTCACCCTTTGTGCGTTAATAACTTCAATCTTTTGCTGTCCTTGATCGAAAGGAGATCCAAAATCTCACGTGAACAGTCTCTCGATTCAGCGATCGAGTGTTTCTCCTCACATCAAAATGACACTGATAAGAAAGCTTTATTTTTGAAAAAATAAATAAGTTCAGACTCCAAAGTTGCCACTAAGCGTAACCCCAATCTATTTAATTCACTCCTAATGAAAATGCAGTTTGTTAACGCAGATGCTCCGCGAAGGTTTCAACCTTTTCTGATTAGTGCGGTGCACCTTTTAACTATTCAGATTTAACCAGCAATCACACCAAATGGGTTAGTCATTGTTTTTTCCATTTTTCTTGTCTTCGGAATCAACAGGAAAGCCTGCAGTGACGTGGCATAGGCGGCACTGTTCATGAGTGTAACACAGCAGCAGATTTCAAATAATTCACTTTGACCCATTTGTGAACAACTCGGTGCATCGATGGGATTCGAACCGACGACACAGCAAAGGGTGGCTTTAGTACGGCCAACGCTCTGGCCACCTGAGCTACGAGGCCCCATCGAACGACACGAATTTAATCACATCTGCCTTAACACCCATAAATTACGGGAGCATGATAGCCGCAATCTGGTGAATTCTAGATGTATTAATTGGAAAGTCCTGCTTAGGCAGTCAAATTACTGTGTCAGATTTGGTGGATACCGGACCTTGCAGTAGGTTGGGCGGGTAAAATTGACGCAAATGTGATTCAACTCACGTATTCAGGTGGACCCTCGTAGTTCATGTGGCTAGATTGATGGCTGTACTAAAGCGCCCGCTTTCTGTAGCAGGTTCGAATCTCACTGTGACACCGAGGTTTTACAGTTCGATCGAGGTGGGTACGTGTGTCTTTAGGAAATATATTCTTTAAGCTGAAGGGGCCCTCGATTCTGACGGATAGGCAATTTGAGACCATACAGTGGTTGTACCTGCCAATGTGGCACAACACTGATATGTCAGATAAATTTCCCGCAGGCAGGTTGCAAACCTGTAGCCCTGTATTACGTCCAACGAACGTAGTCGGTCTACGGAAGATGTTGGCGGCATGTACGCTGTCTGTCTCCGTAGCAGAAACTGATCCGTCTTTTCCTCTGAAAAAAGATTTAGCGGTTGGGCCGTCTCGGGATTTATGCTTAGCAAAGATTTCACCGAACACGACGAGCTCACATGAATGATGTCAAGGGTACCTGAGGAAAAGCATGTTCAAACATAACCCTGGTTAGTGATTTGGTTGCAAACAGAGATACGATTAACTGAATCGGCACTATCACTGGAATCATTAACAATATGCAGGCTCAGGAAACACGGCGGATACTTTCAAAGCACCTGGTGGATCAGCTGATGTTAGCAACGACTTGACAGCTTGGACCTGGTCGTTGAAGAAACCACTGGAGACGCTCAAAAAGATCGTTGGAGCTGCAGGCATTCGCATGTAAACTTCTGCATTTCTTGATGCTCCTTCTATGACCCGCAAATTAAGAAATATACGACTTGCAAATTAACCTGTTTTGTCGTTTTTATGTAAAACGTCCAATGGGTGTGCAGTGCCCAACATCTAAGGTGACCGATTATAAATGATGTGTTTACCTCTGCAAGGAATGAAATACATGAACCAGTTATTTTTTACGAGGGAGATACTCATTTTCGGGAGTACAACTAACGGCGGCGACAGGCTACAGGAACAGTTAGAACGTGGATGGCGGACTTGGAATTATGCATTAAGACAGATGTCACGAAGTTTGAATAGTGTCACACTCCTAAAAGCAAATGTAGCCCACCCCCATGAAATGCGATATACTATTGTGTGAGTTGCTTTCGGCTCTCGCTATTGAAGGAATTCGGCATATGTGATTATGACCTGATATTTCATGAAAAGTCACCTTAGTTTTCGGTCGACGGAAGATGTTGGTGGCAGGTACGCTGTCTGTCTCCGTAGCAGCAACTGATCCGTTACTTCCTCTGAGAAAGATTTAGCGGTTAGGCTGTCTCGGCACATATGCTTAGCAAAGATTTCACCGAGCACGACAAGCTCACATGATTGATGTCACGGGTACTTGAGAAAATGCATGTTCGGACATAACCATGATTAGTGATTAAGGTGCAACCACAGATATGGTTAACTGAATCGGCACTATCTACGTGGGAATACCCTGTTTTATGTTGCGTAACCGGTGGACAGTCAGGTATCAGGCGCGTACCTCGAGTTGGTGGTCCCTGGACCGTGAGGGGGGCTGCGTGTCTGACGAGAGAAAATCGATCGTGCTCGATGGATAAAGCAGCTGGCAGATTTCGCCAGATGGCCGAACGTTGAATGCGAGCAGAAGCGCCCCTAGATGACCTTGGCAGCGGGTAGTCAGCGGCGTGCGTAGTCGTGGAGTGTGTACGTCACTGAACAATGACAGTGTCCCTAAAACCGCTCAAGCGGCACATGCGCTGAAAAACATGCGGGCTAGGTCGGGGTTTGCTTGGCGTTAATTGGAAACGTGCATTCAGAGGATGCCAACATTGGGTCCGACTTTCAGACATACGTAGACTTTTGCCTTGCTAGATATCCACATTTCCATTTAAAATGTCAGAGTCGATTATGAAAACAAAAGGCTGTGTTATTACTTAAAACACGGGTAGATCGCCGTCAGTCACATTTTGGACATATCTACTCGACAGATCATAAAACGAATTGCGAATATTTGCAGGAGTGCACACGTTATTATTAAGAATATGCGTGTAATATTAGAGGAAGTTTAGCTTTTGCATATTACACCCTCTGTTCCTTCACAAATTCAATTTGTTGATTTCCTTGTTCGAAAATGAACTTGAAACTTCTAGTGAACATTATTTTGGCCCTAGTGATCGAGTGATTTTCTTCACAGTAAAATTACACTGTTAAGAAAGCTCCAGTTCTGAAAATTATGTGATATCGGTCTCCGAAGTTGTTCCTAAGAGAAAACGCAGTCTTCTCTATACCTACATGATTACCTCCGACAAAGAAGGCATTATTATTCAGTTATTGTAAATATCTATAATTTGCGATCAGAAGTCTTCTTACGTTCAACGTGAAACAAATGCGATGGAGCTGTGATTAACAACGAAACGCGCCAGTCCAAGGCTAAATTAGCGCCCATTCGTCAATCTGTATTAGTGTTCCACCGAACATAGGTGCAATATGTCCAGTCAATTGCGAATTCACTGAATGATCACGTGCAATACGAGTCTCTAACGTACTTAATGATTTCATTTTTTTAAATGTGTGTGTTTGTATTTTCGCATGAATTTGAGATGCATAATCCACGGCAGCAAACCAAGGAGGAGGAAGAGAAGATGCGGAAAATGAAATAATGATTTCTGATTTTAGAACCCTTGTACATTGAAAGGGTGAACACACACACACACACACACTGAGTTTTAAATTAAGCACAGTCATATACAGGTGCTCGCCTTCAAGTCCGTCAACGGTGAAGTCGACGAGCTCCGTAAGGAGTGGATTTACATATGATAAATTTCGTCGTAGCGGAATGTGCATTAAATAAACAAACTGTTTATTAACATCCTACTGTCCTTTAATATAGAAACAGTCTGACATCCGACGATCGGACACGGATATGTGCATCCGTGTGGGACATTTAGAGAGGGAAATCGGTGCTATAAAATATCTAAATGGCAGACAGCCCACATGTACACGGATGCGTTCACAGACTATTCAAGTATTGTGAATTAACACGAATCGGGTGCGCGGTTTAGATTGCGGGGTGTTTGAAACGACCAAGTGCTCAGATGGCTAAACAAGATACTGCCGGTTATGTCGATGATAGATAGGTGGATATTTCTCATTGGTGGAGAAACCTTGGTACTACTGCCAGACTTAAACTAAACACAACAAAATTGGCAGATGGCAGAGTTTTTAGTGTGTGCTTTTTAATGCATTAAAAGGCTCCTTGCAGGTAGACCGCACACAGGTATACACATACCTGCACAATTAATTAAAGCCTTGAGAATCGAAACTAACCGAATGTGCGATATTGATAGAATGGCGCATTACACGACCTGGTAATTAAATGTCCAGAAAAGGTACTGCCAGTTAGGACTACGCCGGAGCATTGTGAATGGTTCAGCGGTAGTTCTATTAGACAAATAATCAACCAGGATCTCTCAACTTTGCCAATCTGAACAGATCGGGGTCCGTCTGGCATTAATTGGAAAGGGACACTAAGCAAATTTCAAAATTGTGTCGACTTCAGCCTGCCAGGCAAACCGCATTTCTAACGAAAATTCCCGTTTCCAAAGTCAAACAATCGCCAAAGTCGGTTTTTAGAACCAAGGATGATGTTAGTATTTAAAAAACGGCTAGATCGAGAACAGTCACAATTTAAACATATTTACTCGGGAAATCGTCAAACGAATCAAGAAAAGCTGCAATGAATGCGGCTTCATCATTATGAACATGCGCATGATAGCATAGGAATTGCAGCTTATAAAAATTTCACCCTCTGTACGTCCACGACATCAGTCGGTTTCTCTCCTTCAGCAAAAAAGAATCCGGAAAATCAAGTGAACATTATTGTCGCTCCAGCGATCGAGTGAATATACTCACACCAAAATTACTCTGTTAAGAATGCTTTACTTCTGAAAAATAAGTGGGTTCAGTCTCCGTTGCTCCTAAGCCTAACTGGTGGGATTCGAACCCACGACAGTCAAGAGAGGCTTTAGTACAGGCAACGTTCTAGCCACCTTAGATACGAGTCCCCCCGTACGACGCGAGCGTAACCACATCTAAATCAAGTTTACCCGTCCGATCTAATTCAAGGTCTGGTATTCACCAGATCTGATAAAGAAAGTTGATTTCCCAAGCAGTATTTTCTAATTTATTCATCTAGAATTCACCTGATGGCTACGAGTCTCACGTAATTCATAGGTATTATGGCAGGTACGATTAATTTAGCTTCTTCCGGTGGAGTCTCTTAACAAGTGTGACTAGAGCGTTAGCCGTATTAAACTTCTCCACCGAGAAGCCGAGTATTTCATATCCGCATCAAAATAACGCGTCTTTTTTCTTGAGTTTAATACGGAGATAGCGACAATAGTCGGCCAAGCTGCAATAGGCGCGCCTTGCGAGTCAAAATAAGGAGATATGGATTACTTGACATAGTTAAACCCTTGCTGTCGTGGGTTCGAATCCCACCGTGGCACAGAGGTTTAAAAATTCAATCAACGTGGATGCGTGAGACTTTAGGAAATACATTCTGTAAGCTGAAGGGGCTCTCGGTTCTGACGTGTAGGCAATTTAAGACTATACAGTGGTTATACCTTCTGGTGTGGCACAACACTGACATGTCGGGTAAATTCCCCGCGATCTGGTTGAAAAGCTGCTGCTCTGTGTTTCGACTAACAAACATTGCACTCATTGCATTAGGGCAAATGTCATTATTCAAAAACCAAGAGACAGACGCGAGCAGATCACGCCACTCTAGGTGCACTGATTTGTACTAAAATCTACTGTTCCTATGCAGAGGGGGGAGCTGGCTGGGTAGTGTTTCCTGTGTGCAGATTGCAGGCACGCCCGCGTTGCGTGTTATCAGGGTGGGGCATCGATTTCCGTGAAAGAAGAGGATGAGGCACTCTCTACTCGATCTCCTTTTCAGTCTCACAGCGACTGCTGCCCTGAATTACGCTAGCCCTTCGCCTAAGCTCAATGTAGCCACAGGTGATCCAGATGCTGGTGTGGAATTGTTGTCTTTCAGCGGCTGAACGTTACACTAAGTCTCCTTTAGAGCGTGTTATCGATCAGAGTTAGGCAAACACCAAGCAAAATCGCACTGCTTGAAAACTGCACAACCTTTATGAAATACAGGCTTAAGATTTTATCCTGGGAAGGATAAACGACGGTGGCGTAAGTGACAGAGTAAGAGCGAGAAAGATTAAGTCAGATGATGCGTCGGCTCCACGGTGGCATGAAGGCGCGAGACGCAGACAATGGGACATAACAGGAGAAGTCAAGGTAAACGACCCCCGGGTAAGCTTAAAATTGCCTTGTTGTCTTTGTCCGCTCACCATCTCCATTTAAGAAACGACCAACCTCAGCGACTAGACAACATAACGGTCGCCGCCGCCGCCGCCGCCGCCGCCGCCGCCGCCGCCGCTGACAAGAACTGCTCCGTGGAGAACTGTTAGGACAAAATCCAGTCGCAGGCGCTGGCCGTCCTCGGTCGCGCATCCCGCCATCTACAACTACTCTCCGAGAAGGACTGCCTGCTAAAAGCCTACATAGACCACCCCACCGACGAAGACGACAACAAAGCAGCATTCTACCGTTGCCGCCGCTTTGTGCTACAGCGTCTGCGCGAGATGCAGAACGCACGGTTGGCCCGCAAGGCCATGGAGATCGAAGGGCCCGCGCGACCACAACGAATGGAAGAACTTCCTCTCCGCCATCTACTGTCCGCCCGCTAAAGGTATTGCACCTTTCCTCGGCGCCGGCTGAAAAACCCCACTCACCGAGAAGGCACAAATTCTGCAGCGATCGGCCGAATAATTCAGAGGCTTCCTCAATCGCCCCTCCAACATCTCCGACACCGCCATCGCCCGCCTGCCCAATTGAAGACCAACACTAACTTCGACCTCCCACTATCTCTCCACGAGACTATTAGGACAGTGCAGAAGCTCTCCAGCGGGAAAGCGCCCGCATCGGACGCGAGCTCTGTGGAGGTCTAAAAGCACGATGGTCCCCAAATCATGGAGCATCTGACAGCACTGTTCCAGGATATGTGGCGTCAAGGAGAAGTCCCGCAGGATTTCAAGGACGCCAACATCAGCCACCTATACAAACGGATAGGAAACCGCCAGATCTGCGGCAACTACCGAGGCATCGTTTTGCTGGACATTGCCCGTTAGATATTCGCTCACATTCTTCTCAACCGCCTGAACAATCACTTGGATTAAGGTCTTCTGGCGAATAGTCAGTGCGGCTTTCGCCGTTATCGTGGCACCATGGACAGGATCTTCGCCCCCCCCCCCCTAGCTGCAGTTGAAGCGTCAGGAGATGCGGACCCAACTGCACTTTTCTTTCGTGGATCGGACGAATGCATTTGATAGGGTGAATTGTGACGAAATGTGGATAATCATGCGGTGATTTGGCTGTCCGGGATGATTCAGTCAGAGGGTGCGTCAGCTCCATGATGACATGATTGCACGCATCACGGACGAATTCGCAGTATTATGTTCCCCTCCATGTTGATGGACGCTAAACGCGACGAACGCCCCAGGATCCGCCTTGTCTATGGGACGGCTGGCCACGTCCTCAACCACAGACGGATGCACTTCCGGTCGCGTATATCCACAGTCACCATCCATGAACTTCTGTTCGTCAATAAGCACCTCGGGATCCGCATCGCCATATAGAATTGTGAGCGACCTGTCTAACCGCTGGACAATGCAAATTTGATCGCGTTCTTCAACAACCGCCGTCCACTAAGAGAGCCAGGCCGAAACAATTCCTTCTCAGCGTGTTCACGGCACCCTCACGCATGTCAGATGTAGGCTGCTCAACCCGAGTTGTCTGTAATCAAGGCGCTCGTGTTTGAGGAGCCAGGTCGTGCATGTGGCGCGCGTATACACGGTCACTTTACCCTGTCAGCCACGACGTCCATTCCACGCTCAAGTCAACTGACCGGCTCGGACAGTGGCTGTGGCCTGAGAATGTGAAGGAAGAGTGAGATCGACGACTCAGCGCATTTTTCTCACAATTGAATGCATTTACTCTATGCTGAGCCAAATGCAGTTGCGCTGGAGCGGCCACCTGGTGCGCATGGACAACGAGTGACTACCAGAACGCCTCTACTACGTAGACGTCGCGACGGGTTCTCGTCGTCACGGAGGCTAGATTCGCCGTTCAAAGGATACCCTGAAGTCCTCCCTGAAGCGCCTGCAAATCAACGCGACCAACTGGGAGGAGCTCGAACTGGACAGACCGGCCTGGCGGAGGACAGTGAAGACAGCCGCTGCGATCTGCGAAGCCAATCGCATCGCTGCCGCCAAAGCGAAACGCGAAGCCCGTAAATCACAACTTCGTCCAGTACGCAACGCCGCCGCACAACCGCTTCCAAAGTGTCCTCGATGTCAACGGACATTCCGGGCTCGAATCGGACTTGTTGGACATCTACGGATCAACTGCACCTCTCGGACTGCCCCAAACATCGACCCCCGCCCGCATGCTCCTCATCCTCAGCGCCACAAACTAACTCTGACACTTCTTCTGGTCCACCACACCCACCACCCTCCTCCTCCTCCTACTCCCACGACGGCCGCTCCGGCGAATGTCCCAAGCACAACAACCGACAACATCACCACCACCTCCCCTGACTCCAGCGATGAGGATCAGGACTACACCAGCCCTCACTGCGACCGCACCTTCACCTCACACATCGGCCTGGTCGGTCACTTGCGAATCCATCGCACAGAGACTGGGGAACCAGTGCCTGGAGCACCAATCTACACCCAACGCACTCGACTCCACTGCCCACACTGTCCACGCACCCTCAGACATCGCATGGGCCTATTCGGCCACATGCGCTTCCACGAGAGCGGCATTGACCGCACTCCCGACACACCCACCACATCCAGCACATCAACCCTGCCCAGCCCCATACTCGCTCCATCCGCATGCGCCACCACCACCTCCTCAGTAGCTGACACTGACACCGCCGACTTCTCATGCCCACACTGTCCACGCACATTCACCTCACGCATCGGCCTGGTCGGTCACTTGCGAATCCATCGCACAGAGACTGGCGAACCAGTGCCTGGAGCACCAACCTATATCCACCAAGCTCGCCTAAACTGCCCACACTGCCCTCGCACCTTCAGACATCGCATGGGCCTATTCGGCCATATGCGCATCCACGACGACCTGCAGTAGCCAACCGCGGGCCAGACCACACACTCACTCACTCCCTACCTCCCACCACCACACCACAATCAACCCACCAGGCATTATCACTCACACACCCCATGCACTCACTGCCACCTCCCATGCAAGTGGGAAGTGTGCATCTCGACTCGGTCCCCATGCGGCTTCGGCTGCACGGGTGACTTGTGTCCGAGACTATCCCGACACGTCAAGTGTCGTGGATAGGAAGGTTGCTGATTGAGGCCCGCTCTCGGTTCACGGATTTCGTCGCGTTGTGTGTGTGTGTGTGTGTGTGTGTGTGTTATGTGCAGTGGCGGACTGGTGGGCTGGGGACGAACTGCAACAGCACCTTCCACGGCACTCTCACGCAAGTGAGAGACACGCCGTTCAAACCCCGTTGTGTGAAATCCTGGTGTTTGTGTGTGTATGGGGGCCAGGTCGTGCTGTGGCGCGCGCAGTCATGGTCCGTCGACCGTGTCAGCCACGGCGCCCATTTCCTACTCCAGTCTGCTGACCGGCTCGGACAGCGGCTGGGGTGTGGGAGTGGGAAGGGAGAGTGATGTCGACGACTCAGCGCACTTTCTCTTCACTATAAACAATCTGACGCGCTTGAAGCTATCACGGTGCGATAAAGCCGTGGCTTGGAAGGTTGCCAACTGACGGGATACCTTGGACCTCCTCCTTCACTGGAGGCGGTCTGAGAGTCAGGCTGCAATGGCTCCTTTTTAATGTGGCCGTTATGGCATTCCTACCACAGTGTGGGATCCGAGCCAGGCGTTGGCGGCACGCCTAGGTGCGGCTGCTTCGGCCGTGCCAGCCTCCAAATCTCTGTTGTTGGTTAAAATCCTGGTTATTTCTGTGTGGACCAGGGGGTGTGGTGGAACGCCTAGGTGAGGATCCGTCCGAGCCATCCACCTGCGGCCTCCCTCGTCTCCGGTCTTCTTGACTTGGTCTTGACACCGGGCTCAGGCGGGGGAGGAGGAGAGAGTGTAGGTAGATGCTTCGCAAGTCTACTGGCACTTTGAACCCCTGCGCAAGTCACCGTCCCGGCTCCTAACGCTGCTGCAGCTGTGGGGCACACGGTGGACATAATCGAAATCGACGGTCGAACTGTCGTGTCGTCGTGTGTGTGTGTGTGGGGTGTAGGGGTGTCCAGCGGTGGGTTCACGTGTTGGTCGTAGTGGTCGCTCACTTGCTCGCACGTGAGACTACGCCTAGCTTCCATTTGCTGGCACCCAACTCTCAACCGGTGGCTCCACGTAGCTGGGCTCTGCTCAGCGGCCACACCCCGGGCAACCGTCTCGACCGGCGGGCTAAACCAGGTGAGGGCGCCGTGCGCTGTGCCGTGTGCACAGGTTTTGCGGACTCCGCTGGATGGAAGGTCGGATGGAACCTTGCGTCGGCACCGTCGTGACGTTGTCCGTCTCTGCACTCCGCTGGACTGCCGGTGACGCTATGGAACTCCCACTCGACCTCGCCTTGACGCGCCCACCTACGCCGTCGGAGGCCACAGCTTACGGCGAATTCGAGTCGCTCTCCACTACAAGCATAAAGTCGTGGTCCCATATTGGATTTCGGCCGAGCCAATCGGCTCATGGCAGCCCTATTCAGGGGTGGCACTGCCAGCCCCCACGAGGGGAAGGGCCTAGAAAAGGTGGCCTAAACATTACTGTGCACCACACCGTTTCCAGGCTAGCCACGGCCGCAGACGACTAAACATGGTCGAAACAATCGAAATCGAAACAACAACAATACCAATAGCAATAGCAAACATACTCATTCTCCTCATCCTTACTCTTCTTCACCTTCCTCCGTCTATTCTTCTGCCTACTCTTCTCCTTCGTCATCTTCTTCTCCGCCTCCTTCACGTCGCCCCACTCGTTGTCTCCAGACTGAAAGGGTGAGCCCGCTCACTCTGGCAGCCTGGAATGTTCGTTCCCTTCTAGACAATCCGGGGGGCAACCGACCGGAACGGAAGACGGCATTAGTGGCTCGAGAACAGGTGCGATACAAGGTGGATATCGCCGCACTCAGAGAGACCCAAATCTCCGAAAAAGGCCTACTGGAGGAGGTGGGTGCCGGCTACACCTTCTTCTGGAGTGGTCGACCCAAGGCAGAGCGACGAGACGCGGGTGTCGCCTTCGCCATCCGGAACGACATCGTGGGACGACTGCCCTGTCTACCGCAGGGAATCAACGATCGCCTGATGAGCCTCCGTCTACCTCTCCGCCGGAGTGGGGGCACATTCGCCACCATCATCAGCGTCTACGCCCCGCCGATGAGCTGCCCCGACGCCGCCGCAAGAGACAAATTCTACGAGGACCTGCACGCACTCTTGGCGACTGTGCCGAAAGCGGACAAGTTGATTGTCCTCGGCGACTTCAACGCCCGCGTCGGCACAGACCATACTGCCTGGAGAGGAGTGCTGGGTTCCCATGGTCTCCGCGACTTCAACGACAACGGCCTGCTGCTGCTCCGCACCTGCGCAGAACACCGCCTCATCCTGACGAACACGTTCTTCTGTCTGCCGGAGCGAGAGAAGGCCACCTGGAGGCATCCTCGGTCGCATCAGTGGCACCTGCTGGACTATATTCTCGTCCAAAGGCGTGGCCAGCGGGACGTGCTGGTGACAAAGGCGATTGCGGGTGCTGACGGGTGGACCGACCATCGCCTCGTCATCTCGAAGATGCGTATTCGCCTACAGCCTCGCAGGAGACCACAAGATAAGCGACCCCCAGGTAAGCTGAATGTTGCCTTGTTGTCTTTGCCCGCTCACCATCTTCATTTCAGCAATGATCTAGCTCAACGGCTAGACAACCTTCGGATCGCTGCCGACGACGCCGCTGCCGAGAACGCCCCCTGTCTGCGTGCGTGGCCGAAGTCTGTTAGAGCGGTCGACTGGACTGTGTCTCGCTGTTGACACCATCGGCTCTCCACGGAGGCGTTCTCGCCAGTGGCTTCGGGGTCGGCGGTGGCGGTGGCGGTGGCGACAGCGACTGGAAGCTTGTCTAGCCTTTAATCTAGCTCATTGCTGGAATGGAGATTGTGAGCGGGCAAAGACAACAAGTCAATATTCGGCCTACCTGGATGTCATTTTTCTTGATATCTCCTGTCAGGTCCTATTGTCTGTTAATCGCGCCTTCATGCCACCATGGAGCCGACGCATCATCTGAATTAATCTTTCTGGCTCTCGTTCGGTTACTTACGCCACCGTCGTTTGTAACCCCCAAGATGAAAACAGAAGCCGGTATTTTACAGAACCTAGTGCAGTTTACATCAGTTCGATTTTGTCTGGTGTTTGCCTAACTCTGATCGAAAACACTCTCTACAGCAGACTATGCTTGACGTACAGCAGCTGAAAGACGGCGATTCCCAATCACCATCTTGATCACCTGTGGCTACATTTAGCTTAGGCGAAGGGCTGGTGTAATTCAGGGCGGCAGTCGCTGTGAGACTGAAGAGAAGATTGAGTAGAGATTGCGTCATCCTCTTCTTTCACGGAGGTCGATGCCCCCCTGTTAGCACGCAACACGAGGGCGCCTGCAATCTGCACATACGAAACCCCACCCAGCCAACTTCCTCCCTCCGCATCGGATCAGTAGATTTTAGTGCAAATCCATGCACCTGAAGTGGCGTGATCTGCTCACGTCTGTAACTTGGTTTGTGAATAATGAGGACAGGAGCCCTAATGCAATGAGTGCAACATTCGTACCTAAATTTATAACCCCTGTATAGTCTTAAGTTGCCTATACGTCAGAACCGAGAGCCCCTTCAGTTTACAGAATATATTTCCTAACGTCCCACGCATTCATGTTGATCGAATTGTTAGACCTCGGTGCCATGGTTCGATTTTAACCCACGACAGCAATGGTTTAACTATGCCAAATAATCCATATCTGTTTATTTTTTTCGCAATGCGAGCCTATTGCAGCTTGGCCGACTATTGTCGATATTGCCATATGAAACTCAAGTACACTCACGAGTCATTTTGACACGCATATGAAGTCCTCGGCCTCTCGATAGGGTCTGAACACATGACACCATGGGAAGCCTTAGTACAGCCAACGCTCTAGCCAACTGAGCTAAGAGGCTCCACCGGACGACGCTACACTAATCGTATCTGTCATAACACCTATAAATTACGTGAGATCGGTGGCCGTCTGGTGGACTTTAGATGCATTAATTAGGAAATTATGCCTGGATAGACAGCTTACGGTGTCAGATTTGGTGGATTTCAGACGTTGCAGTAGATCGAACGGGAAAACTTGATTTAGATGTGGTCCAGCTCGCGTCGTCCGGTGGGGACTCGTATCTAAGGTGGCTAGAACGTTGGCTGTACTAAAGCCTCTCTTGACTGTCGTGGGTTCGAATCCCACCAGTTAGGCCTAGGAACAACTTCGGAGACTGAACCCACTTATTTTTCAGAAGTGAGGCATTCTGAACAGAGTAATTTTGGTGTGAGGATATTCACTCGAGCGCTGGAGCGAAAATAATGTTCACTTGATTTTCCGGATTCTTATCTGCTGAAGGAGAGCAACAGACTGATGTCGTGGACGTACAGAGGGTGAAATGTTTATAAGCTGCAATCATGCGCATGTTCATAATGATGAAGCCCGCATTCATTGCAGCTTTTCTTGATTCGTTTGACGATTTCCCGAGTAAATATGTTTAAATTGTGACTGCTTATGGTCTAGCTGTTTTTCGATTACTTACATCATCATTTTTTCTCAAAAATGACTTTGGCAATATTATGACTTTGGAAACTGAAATTTTTGTTAGAAGCGCGGCTTGCCTGGCAGGCTGAAGTCGACACAATTTTGAAATTTGCTGAGTGCCCCATTCCAATTAATGCCAAACAGACCCCGATTTGTTCAGATTGGCAAAGCTGAGAGATCCGGATTGGTTATTTGAAGAATAAGAAGAAGATGGGTTCACCGGAACAGGTTTATTAAGATGCTGCCTTTCCGAAGAGCTTGATCGGCTCTCCATTGTCAACGCATAAAATGCACTTCATCGACCAGAAATTCCAAGTGGCGTCTCACTTTGGAGGCCGACCAACGTGACACCTCCACTTAATTTACAGAATTGGCGTTTCCTTAACAGTGTTATTTTGCTGTGAGGAAAATCACTCGATTACTAAGGCGAAGGTAATGCTCACTTGAGTTTTCAAGTTCATTTTCGAACAAGGAAAGCAGCAGATTGAAGTTGGGGTTCGAACAAAGGGGAAAATATGCATAGTCTGAAATTCCTCTAAGATCACACTGCAAATACTCCCACTTCGTTTCATGATCTGCCGAGTAAATATGTCCAAATTTTGACTGACGGCGATCTACCCGTGTTATAAGTAATAAAACAGCCTTTTGTTTTTACACCGACTCTGGCATTTCTGACATCGGTAACTGATATTTTTAATGGAAATGTGGATATCTAGCAAGGAAAAAGTCTACGTATGTCTGAAAGTCGGACCCAATTTTGACATTTCCCTGAACGCACGTCTCCAGTTAACACCAGACAAACCCCGACCTAGTCCGCATGTTTTTTAGCGCATCTGCCGCTTGAGCGGTTTTAGGGACACTGCCATTGTTCAGGTACGTACACGCTCAACGACTGCGCGCGCCACTGACTACCTGCTGCCAAGGTCATCTAGGGGCGCCTCTACTCGCATTCAGCATTCGGCCATCTAGCGAAATCTGCCAGCTGCGTCATCGATCGAGCACGATCGATTTTCTTTCGTCAGGCGCGCAGGCCACCTCACGGTCCAGGGCCCACAAACTCGAGGTGCGCCGCTGATAACTGACTGTCCACCTGGTACGCATCATGAAGCAGGGTATTCTCACGTAGATAGTGCCGATTCAGTTAATCGTATTTCTGGTTGCAGCCAAATCACTAACCAGGGTTATGTTAGAACATGCGTTTTCTCAAATACCCTTGACATCATTCATGTGAGCTTGTCGTGCTCGGTGAAATCTTTGCTAAGCATAAATCCCGAGACAGCCTAACCGCTAAATCTTTCTCAGAGGAAGTAACGGATCAGTTGCTGCTACGGAGACAGACAGCGTACATGCCGCCAACATCTTCCGTAGACCGACTACCAAGGAGGGTAAATTTCCATGATATATCAGGTCATAGTCACTTATTCAGAATTCCCTCAATAGCGAAGCCCGAAAGCAACTCACACAACAGTATAACGCATTTCGTGGGGGTGGGCTATATTTGCTTAAAGGAGTGGGACACTATTCAGACATGGTGACATCTGTCCTAATTCATAGTGCCAGGTCCGCCATCCACGCGCTAACTGTTCCTGTAGCCTTTTGCCTCCGTATGTTGTACGCTTGCCATTTATATTAGCACAAGTTATACGATTTGCGATCTTACTAGTGTTGCTCACTACGTCAGCAAATGGGCACCTCCTTCCCAAACATACCTCGAACACATCCCTCAGTCCTCGCAGAGATATGCTAGAGATTATTTTTCACCCTATGTGTTGAACAATTTACACCATTTCGGAGTTTTTTTAAAATAAAAATGGGATGTCATGTTTTTTGCCCTGGGGACACCTGGCGGTGAGAACATCTCCAGAACTACGTCTATTTATTCTCAAGTATCATATCCGCTGGCGACAATGATTTCTCCCCTAAGCCATGCATTAGTTCGACAAAATGAGCATCTCCCTCGTAAAAAATTAACTGATTCATTCATTTCATTCCTTTCAGAGATAAAGACGTTATTAATCGGTCGCCTTAGTTGTAGGGCACTCCACACCATTCAACGTTTTCAAAAAAACGTCAAAACAGGTTACATTGCAATTAGTTTATTTCTTAACATGCGGATCAAAGAAGGAACATCAAGAAACGCAGAAGTTTACATGCGAATGCTTGCAGCTCCAGCTATCATTCGCGCGACTCCAGTGGTTTCTTCGACAACGAGGTCCGAGATGATAAGTCGTTGCTGATATCAGCTGATCCGCCTGGTGCTGTGAAAGACTCCGCCCTGTATCCTGATCAATTCCAACAGCCTGTAATGTTTAAGTAATTCCAATGACATTCTATTTTCATAAATACCAAAATATCATCTAGGGACGCCCCTGTCCGTATTCGGCCACATGCGGAATCTACGTCCACGGACTGCGATCGAATCTGCGTTCGTCGCGCATCAATCACAAACCAGGTGTCAGTCACAAGAAGCCTCGCAGAAGAATAGGTGCACCGATTAGCATTAGAACTACAGATTAAAAGCGGAGGGGATCTCAATCTACACTGCAGTCCCACATGGAATTTTGCGTCATCCCTTGACGCCTCCTGACACACAAACACATGCCAGTTCGACCATCAGTTTCGATGATGTCCACCGTGTGCCTCACTGTTGCAGCAGCAATGGGAGCAGGGACGGTGAATTGCGAAGCGGTTTATAGTGTCAGTATTCATGCGCTGCATCTACCTACACTCCCTCATCCTCCTTCGCCTGAGTCCGGTGTCAAGACTGAGTCAAGAAGACCGGAGACGAGGGAGGCCGCAGATGGATGGCTCGGACGGATCCTCACCTTGATGTTCCAAAACACCGCCTGCTCCACACAACACATATCAAGTATTTTGACCAACACATCAGAGGTTGGATGCTGGCGCGGCCGAGGCCGCACCTAGGCGTGCCACCAACGCCTGGCTCGGATCCCACGCAGTGGTAGGAGTGCCATAAAGGCCACATTAAAAAGGAGCCATTGCAGCCCGAACCTCAGACCTCCTCCAGTGAAGGAGAAGGTCCAAGGTACCCCGTCAGATGGCAACCTTCCAAGCCACGGCTGAGTCGTCGACCTCACTCTCTCTTCCCATTCCCACACACCAGCCACCGTCCGAGCCGGTCAGTAACTGGAGTGGGGAATGGGCGAGGCGGCTGGCATGGTCGTCTGACCTTGCCTGCGCGTGCCATCAGTACGACCTGGCCCCAATTACACACATACACACACACACGACAGTTCGTCCGTCGAGTTCGACGATGACCACCGTGTGCCCCACAGACTGCATTGTGGGAGGAGGGACGATGACTTACACTCTCTCCTCCTCCCCCGCCTGGGCCCGATGTCAAGACAGAGTCAAGAAGACCGGAGACGGGGGAGGCCGCAGGTGGATGGCTCGGACGGGTCTTCGCCTTGGCGCTCCACTCCGCACCCCTGGTCCACACACCAAGACCAGGATTTTGACCACAAAAAATTGGGGTGGAGGCAGTGGTCCAGTTGTGCGACGAATGCCGACAACAGGGTCCGCCAGCACACCCCGCAAGTGTTGGCATTTGTTATTGCGCACAGATAACGCCTGCCAAAGTACGATGTGGCCCCCGTGTTGGTCCAGCGCATCTAACACGTGGCCCATTTTGAGGGCACACACACACACACACACACACACACACACACGACAGTTCGACCGTCGATTTCGACGATGTCCACCGTATGCCCCACAGCTGCAGCAGCGGTGGGAGCAGGGACGGTGACTTCGGCAGGGGTTTATAGTGCCAGTAGACTTGCGTTGCATCTACCTACACACTCTCCTCCTCCCCCGCCTGTGTCCGGTGTCAAGACCAAGTCAAGAAGACCGGAGACGAGGGAGACCGCAGGTGGATGGCTCGGACGGATCCTCACCTAGGCGTTCCAACACACCCCCTGGTCCGCGCAACAATAACCAGGATTTCAACCAACACAACAGAGATTTGGAAGCTGGCACGGCCGAAGCCGCACGTAGGCGTGGCGCCAGCGCCTGGCTCGGATCCCACACTGTGGTGAGAGTGCCATAAAGCCCACATTAAAACGGAGCCATGGTCGACGGACCATGACTGCGCGACAACAGCACGACCTGGCCCCCCATACACACACAAACACCAGGATTTCACACAGCGGGGGTTGAACGGCGTGTCTCTAACTTGCGTGACAGTGCCGTGGAAGGTGCTGTTGCAGCCCGTCCCCAGCCCACCAGTTCGCCACTCCACACAGCAAACACACACACACACACAACGCGACGAACTGCGTGGACCGAGATCGGGCCTCAATCAGCAACCTTCCTATCCACGACACTTGTCGTGTCGGGATAGTCTCGGACACAATTCACCCGTGCAGCCGAATCCGCATGGGGACCGAGTCGAGAGCACTTTTCCCACTTGCGCGGGAGGCGGCAGCTGAGTGCGTGAGGTGCGTGAGGGTTGATGTCTGGTGGGGTGATGGTGTTAGGAGTTAGGGGTTGAGGGAATGTGTGGTGTAACCGGCGGTTGTCTACCGCAGGTCGTCGTGGATGCGCATGTGGCCGAATAGGCCCGTGAGATGCCTGAAGTTGCGAGGGCAGTGTGGGTAGTTGAGACGGGCTTGGTGGGTGTAGGTTGGTGCTCCGGGCACTGGTTCACCAGTCTCTGTGCCATGGATTCGCATGTGACCGGTAAGGCCGATGCGTGAGGTGAAGGGGCGTGGACAATATGGGCATGAGAGGTCGGCGTTGTCGGTGTCAGCTGTAGAGGAAGCAGTGGTGTTGGTGGTGGTGTTCGGCGCGTGTGACGGTGGAGCGAGGATGGGTCTGTGCGTGGTGGATGTGTTGGATGTCGTGGCTGTATCGGAATTGTGGTCAATTCCGCTCTCGTGAATGCGCATGTGTCCGAATAGACAGATGCGATGCGTGAAGGTGCGAGGGTAGTGTGGGCAGTTGAGGCGAGTGCGGTGGGTGTAGGTTGGTGCTCCAGGAATTGGTTCGCCGGTCTCTGTGCGATGGATTCGCAAGTGACCGACCAGGCCGATGCGTGAAGTGAAGGTGCGATCGCAGTGAGGGCAGATGTAGTATCTGGCCCTCACGTCTGATGATGGAGGTTGCATGGGTTGTGCCCGTTGTTGTGTCAGGTTCGGCTGTGGTGAGGGCGTGGGCGACAGACGCCGAAGCGGCCGTCGTTGTGGCAGAGATGGAGGAAGAGGAGGAGGAGGAAGGTGAGGAGTGAGGGGTGGTAAGGTCGGTGGCGTCGATGTCGGTTGGGGAGTGGTTAGTGGGTGCATAAGTTGGTGAATTTGGAGTGGGGCTCGGCCGGGTGGATGTGTCAAGTCTGCGGTCAGTTTCGCTCTCGTGGATGCGCATGTGGCCGAATAGACCCATGCGATGCGTGAAGGTGCGAGGGCAGTTTGGGCAGTGGAGGCGAGTGCGGTGGGTGTAGGTTGGTGCTCCAGGCACTGGTTCGCCGGTCTCTGTGCGATGGATTCGCAAGTGACCGACCAGGCCGATGCGAGAGGTGAAGTTGCGGACGCAGTGAGGGCAGGTGTAGTTCTGATCCTCATCAGTGGAATCGGGAGATGTGGGGGTGGCGGCGGTTATTGTGTCGGGGTTGGTGATGTGTGAGACGGCAGTCTGAACGGCCGCCGCTGGGGCAGTGGAGGAGAAGGAGGAGGATGGAAGTGATGGTGCAGAATGAGTGGCAGAGTTAGTTGGCGGCAGAGAGGACGAGGAAGAGGCGGGCGGGGGGACGATGGCTGGAGCAGTTCGAGAGGTGCAGTTGATCCGAAGATGTCCAACAAATCCGATTCGTGCCCGGAATGTCCGTTGACATTGAGGACACGTAGGGAGCGGTTGTGCGGCAGCGTTACGTAATGGGCGAAGTTTGGATTTGCGGGCTTCACGTTTCACTTTATCGGCAGCGATGCGGTTGGCTTCATAGATAGCAGCGCCCGTCTTCACTGTTCTCCTCCATGTCGGACGATCGCGAGCGAGCTCTTCCAAGTTGGTCTGGTTGATTTGCCGGCGCTTCAGGGAGGACTTCAGGGTATCCTTGTAACGGCGAATTTGGCCTCCTTGACGACGAGAGCCCGTCGCGACGTCTCCGTAGAAGAGTCGTTTGGGTAGTCGCTCGTCGTCCATGCGCACCAGGTGGCCGCTCCAGCGCAGCTGCATTTGTCTCAGCATGGCGTAGATGCTGAGCATTCCCGTTCGTTCCAGTACTTCTGTGTCTGGGATTCGTATCTGCCAGTTCAGCCTCAGGATGCGACGAAGACAACTGAGGTGGAAGTGGTTCAGTCGACGTGCCTGCCTCGTGTACACCGTCCAGGTCTCCGCTCCGTACAGTAGCGTCGGCAGGATTACTGCCTTGTACATCTTCAGCTTCGTGCTCAGTTGCAGACCGTGACGATTCCAGACTGTGCTTCGGAGGCGACCGAAGGCTTGACTGGCTTTCGAGATTCTGTTGCCAACTTCGTCATCGATCTTTGTGTTGCGAGATCGGGTACATCCCAGGTACGGGAAGTTCTCTACCACTTGCAGTTTAGTCCCACTCACGTTGATGTGCGGCGCGTTGGGGACTGTGGCTGATTTAGGCGGAGGTTGGTGCATCAGCACCGTCTTCTGCGTGTTAATTATCAGACCGAAGTTCTCGCAGGCGGCGGAGAACAGATCCATGCTGCGTTGCATCTCCGCTTCTGAGGTGGTGTTCAGGACGCAGTTGACGGCGAAGTGAAGTTCGTGCACGGTGGTTGTGGATACGCGCGATTGGAAGTTCATGCGCCGGTGATTCAGGAGATGACCGTCCGTTCTATAGACGATGCGGATTCCAGGGCGTTCGTCGCGGTAGGCGTCCAGCAGCATGGCAGAGAACATAAGACTGAAGAGGGAAGCGCCAGCACACAGCCCTGATTCACTCCGTTGGTCACTGCGAATGCCTCTGAGACAGCTCCGTTGTCCGTGACTCGCGCCATCATACCGTCGTGCAGCTGACGCACCATCTGAGTGAATCGCTCCGGACAGCCGAATTTCTGCATGATCTTCCACAGTCCTTCACGATTCACCGTGGCGAAGGCATTTGTCAGGTCCACGAAGGTAGAGTAGAGGTGGGTCCGCATCTCCTGGCACTTCTCCTGAAGTTGGCGGGCGGCGAAGGTCATATCCATGGTCCCACGATGACGACGGAAGCCGCATTGGCTTTCCGGCAGAAGGTCTTGTTCCAGGTGGGTATTGAAGCGGTTGAGGAGGATGCGAGCGAAGATCTTCCCGGCGATGTTCAGTAGGGAGATGCCGCGGTGATTGTCGCAGACTTGGCAATTCCCTTTTCGCTTGTATAGGTGCACGATGATGGCGTCCTTGAAATCTTGCGGGACTTCACCTTGACGCCACATCTCCTGGAAGAGCGCAGTCAGGTGACCCATCAGTAGGGGACCTCCGTGCTTGTAGACCTCAGCAGGGATTGCGTCCGATCCGGGTGCTTTCCCGCTCGAGAGCTTCTGCACTGCCCTGATGGTCTCCTGGAGAGATGGCGGGAGGTCGAGGTCCACGTTGGTCGCCACTTGAGGCAAGCGGGCGATGGCGTCGTCGGAGATGACGGATAGGAAGTTGAGGACGCTCAGGAAATGCTCGGCCCATCGTCGTAGGATTTGCGTCTTCTCAGTCAGGAGAGTGTTTCCGTCGGCGCTGAGGAGAGGAGCAGTGCCCTTCGTCGGCGGACCGTAGACAGCTTTGATCGCGGAGAAGAAGTTCTTCCATTCGTTGCGGTCCGCGTAGCCTTGGATCTCCTCAGCTTTGCGAGCAGTCCAGGCGTCCTGCATCTCGCGCAGTCGTTGCTGAAGTTGGCGGCGACTGCGGTAGAAGGCAGCTTTGTTGTCGTCAGTGGGGTGATCTACGTAGGCTTTGTGGAGGCGGTTCTTCTCAGCAAGCAGATTTCTGATGGCGGCGTCATTGTCGTCGAACCAGTCCTGGTGTTGGCGGGGAGCGCGACCGAGGACGGCGAGCGCCGTCGACTGGACCGTGTCTCGCAGTTGACACCCGCGGTTCTCCACGGAGGCGTTCTCGGCAGTGGCGGCATCAGCGATTGGGAGGTTGTCTAGCCGTTGAGCTAGCTCAGTGCTGAAATGAAGATGATGAGCGGGCAAAGACAACAGGGCAACATTCAGCTTACCTGGGGGTCGCTTACCTTGTGGTCTCCTGCGAGGTTGTAGGCGAATTCGGATCTTCCAGATGACGAGGCGATGGTCGGTCCACCCGTCAGCACCCGCGAACGCCTTCGTCACCAGCACGTCCCGCTGGCCACGCCTTCGGAGGAGAACATAGTCCAGCAGGTGCCACTGACGCGACCGAGGATGCCTCCAGGTGGCCTTCTCTCGCTCCGGCAGACAGAAGAACGTGTTCGTCAGGATGAGGCGGTGTTCTGCGCAGGTGCGGAGCAGCAGCAGACCATTGTCGTTGGAGTCGCCGAGACCGTGGGGACCCAGCACTCCTATCCAGGCAGTATGGTCTGTTCCGACGCGGGCGTTGAAGTCACCAAGAACAATCAACTTGTCCGCCTTCGACACAGTCGCCAAGAGGGCGTGCAGGTCCTCGTAGATCTTGTCTCTTGCGGCGGCGTCGGGGCTGCTCATCGGCGGAGCGTAGGCGCTGATGATGGTGGCGAATTTGCCCCCACCCCGTAGGAGAGGCAGGCGGGGTCTCATCAGGCGATCGTTGATTCCCTGCGGTAGACAGGGCAGTCGTCCCACGATGTCGGTGCGGATGGCAAAGGCGACACCCGCGTCTCGTCGCTCAGCCCTGGGTCGACCACTCCAGAAGAAGGTGTGTCCGGCACCCACCTCCTCCAGTTGGCCTTGTTCAGAGAATCGGGTCTCGCTGAGTGCGGCGATGTCCACCTTGTAGCGCGCCAGTTCTCGTGCCACTAGCGCCGTCCTCCGTTCCGGTCGGTTGCTCCTCGGATTGTCTAAAAGGGAACGAACATTCCAGGCTGCCAGAGTGAGCGGCCTCACCCTGCCAGTCTGGTGACATCGAGTGGGGCGACGGGAGGGATGTGGAGAAGAAGGTGACGAGGGAGAAGAGTAGGCTGAAGAATAGATAGAGGTAGAGGAAGAAGAGCTAGGATGAGTAGAATGAGTATGGTTGTTGTTGTTGTAATTGGTATTGTTGTTGTTTCGATTTTGTTTGTTTCGTCTGTGTTGATGGCATCTGCGGCCTTGGCTGGCCTGCAGAAATCGTGGTGCTCAGCATTTTATAGACCACCTTTTCTAGGCCCTTCCCCTCATGGGGGGGGGGCAGTGCCGTCCCTGAATCGGGTTGCCCATGTGCCTGGTTGGCGCGACCGAATCCCACTATGGGGCCACGACTTTTATGTTCGTAGTGGAGAACGACCGCATTTGCCGTGAGTCCGCGGTCTCCGTCGGCGAGGGTGGGCGCGTCTCAGCGAAGGCGATGCAGAGACCCCTACCGGCAGCAGTTATCCAATGGCGTACCAGGCAGAGCCTCGTCTCGACGATGCCGGCGCTGTGTTTCATCCGACCATCCATCCAGTGGAGTCCGCGGTACGCTGTGCACTCGGCACAAGTGTACAGCGCCCTCACCTGGATTAGCTTGCCGGCCGAGACGGTTGCCCGGGGGTGTGGCCGCTGAGCAGAGCCCAGCTACGTGGAGCCACAGGTGAGAGTTGGGTTCCAGCAAATGGACGCTAGGTGTAGTCTCACCTGCGAGCAAGTGAGCGACCACTACGACCATCACGTGAACCCACAGCTGGACACCCCTACACCCCGCACACACACACACGCACACACACACACACGACAGTTCGAACATCGATTTCGACGATGACCACCGTGTGCCCCACAGACTGCATTGTGGGAGCAGGGACGGTGACTTGCGTAGGTGTTTATAGTGCCAGTAGACTTGCGCTGCATCTACCTACACTCTCTCCTCCTCCTTCGCCCGAGCCCGGTGTCAAGACAGAGTCAAGGTAACCGGAGACGAGGGAGGCCGCTGGTGGATGGCTCGGACGGATCCTCACCTAGGCGTTCCACCACTCCCCCTGGTCCAAACAACAATAACCAGGATTTCAACCAACACAACAGAGATTTGGAGGCGTGCCGCCAACGCCTGGCTCGGATCCCACATTGTGGTAGGAATTCCATAAAGCCCACATTAAAAAGGAGCCATTGCAGCCAGACTCTCAGACCGCCTCGCGTGAAAGAGGAGGTCCAAGGTACCCCGTCAGTTGGCAACCTTCCAAGCCACGGCTTTTAGCGCACCGTGATAGCTTCAAGCGCGTCAGATTGTTTATAGAAAGGAGAGAGTGCGCTGAGTTGTCGAACTCACTCTCCATTCCCATCCCCACACATCAGCCGCTGTCCGAGCCGGTCAGCAGACTGGAGTGGGGAATGGGCGCGGTGGCTGACACGGTCGACTGACCATGCCTGCGCGCGCAACAGCACGACCTGGCCCCCCATACACACACAAACACCAGGATTTCACACAACGGCGGTTGAACGGCGTGTCTCTCACTTGCGTGAGAGGGCCGTGGAAGGTGCTGCTTCAGCCCGTCCCTAGCCCACCAGTCCGCCACTCCACTCGAAACACACACACTCAATGGGACTAACTGCGTGGACCGAAAGCGGGCGTCAATCAGCAACCTTCCCATCAACGACGATTGAATTGGCGGGATAGTCTCGGACTCAAGTCACCCCTGCAGCCGAAACCGCATAAGGACCAAGTCGAGATGCACACTTCCCTTTACCGTGGAAGGTGGCAGTTGGGTGCGTGAGGTGTGTGAGTGTTGATGTGTGGTGTGGCGATGCTGGTGGTGGGAGGTAGGGAGTGAGGGAATGTGTGGTGTAACCGGCGGTTGTCTACCGCAGGTCGTCGTGGATGCGCATGTGGCCGAATAGGCCCGTGAGATGCCTGAAGTTGCGAGGGCAGTGTGGGTAGTTGAGACGGGCTTGGTGGGTGTAGGTTGGTGCTCCGGGCACTGGTTCGCCAGTCTCTGTGCGATGGATTCGCAAGTGACCGACCAGGCCGATGTGTGAGGTGAATGTACGGTCGCAATGAGTGCAGGTGTAGTCCTGATCCTCATCACTGGATTCGGGGGAGGTGGTGGTAGTGTCGGCGGTTGCGCGCGTGACAGTCGCCTGAGCGGCCGTCGTTGGAGCAGTGGAGGAGGAGGAGGAGAACGAGTAGGAGGAGGAGGAGGAGGCCGAGGATGGAAGTGGTGGTTCAGAATAATTGTCAGAATTAGTTAGCGGTGGCGGGGAGGAAGAGGCGGGCGGGGGGAAGATGGTTGGTGCGGTTCGAGAAGTGCAGTTGATCCGAAGGTGTCCAACAAGTCCTATTCGAGCCCGGAATGCCCGTTGACATCGAGGACATGTTGGAAGCGGTTGTGCGTTTTCGATGCCGATTGGGCTTCGCGTTTCACTTTGGCGACGGCGATGCGATTGGCTTTGTAGATCGCAGCGCCTGTCTTCACTGTCCTCCTCCAGGTCGGTCAATCGCGGGCGAGCTCTTCCCAGTTGGCCATGTTGATTTGCACGCGCTTCAGGGAGGATTTCATGGTATCCTTGTAACGGCGAATTTGGCCTCCTTGACGGTGAGAGCCCGTGGCGACGTCTCCGTAGAAGAGTCGTTTGGGTAGTCGCACGTCGTACATGCGCACTAGTTGGCCGCTCCAACGCAGCTGCATTTGTCGCAGTGTGATGTAGTTGCTGAGGATTCCCGTCCGTTCCAGCACATCGGTGTAGCGGATTCGAACTTCCAGCTCAGCCTCAGGATGCGATGAATACAACTGAGGTGGAAGTGGTTCAGTCGGCGTGCCTGCTTTTTGTACACCGTCCAAGTCTCCGCTCCGTACGGCAGCGTCGGCAGGATGACGGTCTTATACGTCTTCACCTACGTGCTGAGTTGGAGTCCGTGAAGATTCCAAACTGTGCTTTGGAGGCAACCGAAGGCTTGACTGGTTTTCGAGATCCTGTTGGCGACTTCGTCGTCGATCTTGCTGTTGCGGGAGAGGGCAGTGCCCAGGTACGGGAAGTTGTCTACCACTTGCAAATGAGTCCCATTCACGCTGATTTGCGGCGACTCATTGGGGGCCGTTGCTGAGTGGCGTGGCGGTTGATGCATCACCACCGTCTTCTGCGTGTTGATAACCAGACCAAAGTTCTCGCAGGTGGCGGAGAACAGATCCATGCTTCGTTGCATCTCCTCTTCCGAGATGGTGTTCAGGGCGCAGTCGTCGGCGAAGAGGAATTCGTGAACGGTGGTGGATATCCACGCGCGCGATCGGAAATGCATCCGCCGTTGATTCAGCAGGTGACCGTCGTCCAGTAGGCGGGTCGGATCCCCGGGCGTTCGTCGCGGTAGGCGTCCATCAGCATGGCAGAAATATAAGACTGAAGAGGGTAGGCGCCAGCACGCATCCCTGCTTCACTCCGTTGGTCATTGCGATTGCCTCTGAGACAGCTCCGTTGTCCGTGACTCGCGCCATCATACCGTCGTGCAGCTGACGCACCATCTGAATGAATCGCTTGGACAGCCGAATGTCTGCATGATCTTCCACAGTCCTTCACGATTCACCGTGTCGAAGGCTTTTGTCAGGTCCACGAAGGTAGAGTACAGGTGGGTCCGCATTTCCTGGCACTTCTCCTGTAGTTGGCGGGCGGCGAAGATCATATCCGTGGTCCCACGATGACGACGGAAGCCGCATTGGCTTTCCGGCAGAAGGTCTTGTTCCAGGTGGGTATTGAAGCGGTTGAGGAGGATGCGAGCGAAGATCTTCCCGGCGATGTTCAGTAGGGAGATGCCGCGGTGATTGTCGCAGACTTGGCGATTCCCTTTTCGCTTGTATAGGGGCACGATTTTTGCGTCTTTGAAATCATGCGGGACTTCACCTTGACGCCACATCTCCTGGAATAGCGCAGTCCGGTGATCCATTAGTTGGGGACATCCGTGCTTGTAGACCTCAGCAGGGATTGCGTCCGATCCGGGTGCTTTCCCGTTAGAGAGCTGCTGCACGGCCCTGATCGTTTCCTGAAGAGATGGCGGGAGGTCGAGGTCTGCGTTGGTCTCCACTTGCGGCATGCGCTCGACGGCGACGTCGGAGATGGCGGAGGGATGGTTGAGGACGCCTCGGAAGTGCTCAGCCCATCGCTGCAGGATTTGTGTCTTCTCAGTTAGGAGAGCGCCCTACGTCGGCGGACCGTAGACAGCTTTGATTGCGGAGATGAAGTTCTTCCATTCGATGCGTTCCGCGTAGCATTGGATCTCCTCAGCTTTGCGAGCAGTCCAGGCGTCCTGCATCTGGCGCAGTCGATGATGAAGTTGGCGGCGTGCACATACGAGGACGTCTAGCGCAGTTGAATATACGGTGTCCCGCAGTCGACACAAACGGATATCGACAGCGCAGAGGCGGAAAGGGCAATGGGAAGGTTGTCTAGAAGGTGAGATAGCTCATTGCAGGCAAAGAAACAAGGCAACATTCAGCTTACCTGGGGTTCACTTTAATTGCGCACTAATGCGATGCTGGACGCATATTTGCGGTTTGTGAATATTAAGCGGTTGCTGATGGATTTCAGTTCAAATATTCATAGCAAACTTTGGAGCGTGCCTGAAAATGCCCGTTTGGAAAGATTTACTCCATGCTCGCGCATTCATTGCCTCGGAAAGGAAAGAAGGTAAGTTGAAACTGGAGTTCGTATGGCAGAAAACAGAGGGGGAATGTTGGGGGAGAGACTGACGCGCGGAAGCCCTGTCAGCTGCGTCAGGCAGCGGCATAAGATGGGCGAAAGACGCGTGTCTGGGCTTTTAGCTAATACCTGTGTTGTTAGTAAGGTAAACCATTTGCACAGTTCTATACTACTGGCTGCCTGTTGGCGGTTTGTTAATATGAAGCGGTAGCTGATGGATTTTAGCTGAAATTTTTATAGGAAACTTTGGAGCGTGCCTGAGGGAGCCCATTCGGATAGATTTACTCCAAGTTTGCGCATTTCTTGTTTGTCGGAAATGAAACAAGGCAAGTTGAGAGTGGAGTTCAAATAGCAGAAAACACACGGGGAATGCTGGGGACGTAGGGACTCTCTTCCAAACAGGCATCTCTACCGAGAACGAAACATCGTCATAAAGTGAGCTCCTGAGTCCAGTTCGTCGACTGCAAAAGAAAGAATCGAACACGATCTCAACCTCTTCCAAACATATTCAAATGCCCTCCTTCTGGGCGGATAATGTGTTACCGTGCACAAAGCTTTCCGTCTAAGAAACGCAGATGCGTCGCGTGCATTACCAAGGCCTCTTAAAATCATTCTTGCAAATTAACCAAAGGCCTCACATCTCCTAGAAGGGAGAATGGCTCTTCGTCATTCGCATAAGGAAGTATTTTTTCAGCCGGATTACGAACCGACAGTAAGACACAAGATGAGGGAGCGCTGGACAGAACAGAAAAGAAGGACAGAAGAGTGGGAAAAGGGGTTGAAAATAAAGGAAGGCAAGCTAATACAGATCAAGCGATCGTTCCTGTGGCTAACCCCCTTTGTAATCAGGGCCAGTTTCCCCCAAGAAGACGGACACTAAAAGTGCCCTCTTCGAATGTGCAGAGCCTGCTTAACAAGATGGATGAACTCAGGACTCTGATCGACGAGCACACACCAGATATCATCGCCTTGACAGAAACATGGCTTTCAGAAGCTGTTGGAGATCATGAGGTATCCCTCAAAGGCTACCAACTGTTCAGAAGAGACAGAAAAAGCCGAGGAGGAGGGGTCGCTGTTATGTTAGCTACAACCTAACCGCGGTCCCTGAGCATAATCCAACAACAAAAGCGGAAGTGGAATTCTTATCTTTAACTATCTCCACTAAATACGCCAGGCCGCTGGCGTTTACAGTTGTGTATCGTCCCCCAAACCAGATTTCCGAACACGATAGCCTTCTCCTAAGGGAACTGAACAAGACCTGCTCGAACAGAGATGTCCTTTTTGTCGGGCACTTTAACACCCCCAATATCGACTGGCAAGCTTGGGCGGTTTCGGGTCCATCGAACACATTCGGACAATATTTGCTTGAATTGGCAGCAGAAAACCTGCTTTTTCAGAATTTAACTCTCAGGACACGTGTAAGGGAAGGGCAACGTTCAAACTGCCCCGACCTGGTGCTCACTTGAGATGAGGAGAGTGTGCTGGATATACAAGATCTCCCGCCAATTGGTGCTAGTGATCATATTGTGATGCTCTTCGAGTATTCCCTGTTCTCCCAGCCTAATTCACCTGAACAATTACAAACAAATATCCGGAAGGGGGATTTTCCTAGCATGCGGACGCAAGTCTCAGCAATACCGTGGACAACCACATTGCAGGGAACAGTTAATGACTAATGGAGCACGTTCAGCCCACTGGTCAAAAAAATCGTTGACATAAACTGTCCACTTAGACGAAAGAAAACAACCAAACGTCCGTCTTAAACCTCGTTTAGGAGGAGAAATAAAGTGTGGAGACGCTATCGACAAACAGACAGTCCTGAAGATCTGAAGGAATACATGCGACAGCGGAATTCGTGTAAACGCGAGGCTCATAGACTTCAAGGTAACTATGAGCTGTGCTTATTACAAATTCCTTGTAGTATCCTAAAATCCTCTATAGTTGCATACGTAATGGACAGAGCAATCGTGAACCGATTCCAGCGCTAAGATCCCAAAACGGTGTAACTGAGACAGATGACCACCTGAAAGCATCAGCCTTCTCCAATTTCTCTCAGTCGGTATTCACTCATGACACAAACCCTCCTGCCATGCCTTATGTAGACCGTCCTGCATTGGAAGACAATCTTTTCTTCTCACGCACGTTGATAAGGACCGAACTACGCCGGCTGAAACCTGCCAAATCACCTGGTCCAGATGGAATTCATCCACTTGTCCTCCGAGAATTAGCTGATATACTATGTTAGCCGGTGTCCATGATATTTCGGAAGTCCATGGACGAAGGCGAACTGCTGGAGGAGTGGAAAACGGCTCATATTTCTCCAATCTATAAAGGAGGATGCAGACTGGAGCCCGAAAATTACCGTCCTATTAGTTTAACCTGCATTCTATGCAAGGTAATGGGACGACTTATTAAAGGGCATTCAATGTCGTATCCGGAGCCGAGGGACCTGTTATGTGCTGTTCAGCACGCATTTCGGCGTGGTCACTCCTGTCTTATAAGCAGTCTTTACTCTCAGGAAAAGTGGACAAGAGCCATAGACCAGGGCCGTCCAGTGGACGTCATCTTCTTTGACTTTAAGAAGGCGTTTGATAGCGTTCCTCATGGACAACTCCTACAGAAGATTTGGGAGTGTAGAATACAGGGCAGCATTTTTAACTGGATTAAAAGTTTCCTGTCATGCAGGCTCCAAAAAGTCAGCGTTGGTGCCACTACATCCGAATGGGTGCCAGTAAAAATCGGGACGAGACAAATGCGAGTAGCCTGGGATTATAAGTCAACATTGTTGACGTACTTGCTTCCCATCAGTAGGCGTGCTTTTATTAGGTTACATACTTACAACTGCTAATTGGGCGAAGGAAGGGCGGTTATGCTGTAAAGTCCTTCATGTTATTGCTCCAGCTATGTTTGCTTATTTGGCGTACAGGGTCTGTCAGGATGACTTTCTCCTTCACTGTAACCGCCATGAGAACGAGGCGCTGTAAGACTGTCTATATGGGCACATTGCATTGCACCCCCCACACGGAAAACTTCAGTAAAAGGCGAAATCCTTCACCTTTGCGGATTGCGATTCAACACGCTTTACATTATGCTTCTACCTGCAAGCTGCTTCAGTTGTGTTAACAGGTTAATACCCCCCCCGCCTTTCCGAAACAGCCGGGTTGTATTTGATCG